AAAGTAACATAATTATCACTACTCCCTACCATCTAATTCCAGAACATTTTCATTCCCCAAAAAAGAAAGCCCATACCCGTTAGCAGTCACTCATCCTTTTCCTCTCTCCAGTCCCTAGTGATCACTAGTCTACTTCTATTTACTAATTGGTCTTTTCTTGACATTTTATATAGATGGAATCAAACAATATATGGCATTTTGCATCATTCCTATTTTATATATGAAGAAACCAAGACTCAAACAGTCGTGGGGCAAAAGTAAGTTCCCCCAGGTCACAGCTTAAATAGAGTCTGAACAAAAACAGCAGCCCCAGTCTGATTCAAATGCTTGTGCCTTTGACCACAATAGAAAAAAGGCAAAAGTTTTACACATATTTAGGGGGGAAATGGGACTTTGGTCATCTAAAGTAATGAAATAAGAACCACAATCAGAGCGCCATGCCTGCTGAGCCTATGCTGAAACGCAGACAGCACTTCAAGAGATGATGGCAAAGTCCTAGAAGCACACAAGGCCAGTCTCAGCTCCACTGTCTGTCTCGCCCTGCACCCCGACATCCTGCACACCCTCAGCCCCACAATCACAGCATGTGAAACTGGGAATTGCCTTCCCAGTCCACCCCCACAAATGTCACCCTGCCTCAAACTTTATATCCATTCCAATCTCCGTTGAAAAAATCCAAGAAAAATGTTTGTTTTAAATAAACGCACTAGTGCTTTTCATCTCCTTTTAAATGCTGCCGCCAGCTTACATCTATTAGAGGTGACAAAAAAGAGGATGAATACTGGAGGAACTAACTTGTCAGCCGACAACAGCCAAAGAGCTACAAAAACCAAAGAAATAGAACTCAAATAAAATGCCTATATTATTATGGGCTCTCCCTGGTGGTGCAACGGGTTAAAGCACCGCACTATGAAGCTCTCCAAAGCCACTGCAGCATGCATGAGTTTTATCCCTGGCCAGGGAGCTGACCCACATGGCACGGCAGACCTCTCCTGACCCACCTGCTGCTCCCCTCAGCAATGTACTTTATCAATCTGCCTATTCTGCTCCTCACTGTCTCTGGTGAATCCTCTCACCCACCACACCTCTGGCCTGTAACCCAGTTCTGTTAAGTATAAATAAATAAGTCTTTTTAAAAAATGCCTATATCATAACGGTATCTTTGCTTTGGACATGTTTCTAGTTTACACATTGCTTATGTGGATGCTGGAGATTAGTTATGCTTTCCCGGAGGAACAAATTCAGCTCTTCCTAGTGCTTTCCATGTCTCATCTAACATAAACAGGTACACTGCAGTGATGATAATTATAATATTCTCCTTTCTCATGAGAAAAGTATAGATAAGATGATCTCAACTGATGCAAAGCCCGGCCAGTATCTTTATTCACTCTTTACCCCTCATAACAGATACACAAATGATTGTCGAATGGTAACAACTAACACACAGCGCCTCGCCCGCTATTCTGCACATGCAGATGTCAGCTCCCACCACTGTAAAGGGAGGGCTGCTACTATGGCCTTCATTTCAGTTGAAGACACAGCACACAGCACAGCAGTGGTTCCCAGTCTCTGCTAGCAAGGGCTGGACCGGGACTGAGGGAAGGCAGCAGACCAGGAGCCTCCTAGTAAACACATTTGAGTCTGCCCAATTTCTTAAATTTGAGAGGTTTATGATACACTGCAACAGCCAGGATTGCCAAGGGATCATAAAACAAGAAAAATACTTTTCCCTCTATATTCTTCAGAAATGCTGAGTCTTTTATCTCCTTATGTCTGAACTCTCTGATAAGGAAAATCCACAGATTCTGATCCCCTATAGTTACATGAAAAGGAGCCAATGGTCGAGCCCTCCATGGTGGGGCATCAGGTTAAAGCACAGCCTGTGATGCTACTGCAGCCACTGCAGCACCGAGTTCGATCCCCAGCCAGGGGGGGTGACCCACAGAGCACTGACAGACCTCTCTTGTCTTGTCCGCTACTCCCCTCAGCAGTGCATTTCTGTCAATCTGTCTCTACTGCTCCACATTCTGTCTCTGATGAATCTTCTTACCCCCCAAAACCTCTGGACTGTACCCCAGTTCTTGTAATGTAAAAGTAAATAAATCTTTAAAAAAAAAATGGAAGTCAATGATCTGGACAGCAGAGGAGAAATTGAATCAAAAAAAGTTTTATTTTATAGCTCACTGTCCTTTGTATAGGCCAAGTTATTCTCTCTTGAGCCTCCTATTCATCTACATTTTTTTTAAAGATTTATTTATTTGTGCATACAGAACTGGGGTACAGGCCAGAGGCTCAGGGGCGGCAAGAGGCTTCACCAGAGACAGAGTGGGGAGCAGAACAGGCAGATCAACGAAGTACACTGCTGAGGGGAGCAGCAGGCAGGGTCAGGAGAGGTCTGCCACGCCATGTGGTCACCTCCGGGGCAGGCAGGAATCGAACTCATGAGGAAGCGGCTTTAGATTCTCAGTGCTATGCTTTAACCCGCTGCGCCACCAGGGAGGGCCTCCATCTACATTTTTAACTTCTGAAACATCATATACAACACTGGCCCTGGTGACTACAAAGCTATCAACAGTAAGAAGAAAACACTATTTGGGGGCCCCTCCCATCTTCTCTGGCATTGAAAGTGAAATAATATAAAAACTTAAGAGTTGACCCAGATCTTCAATTGCTCAAATGCCACACTACGTCCAACCCAGAAGTACACTGACCCGAAATGGTAATTAAACCCTTCTATAGACATTTGCCAGGGAGAACTAACTCTTCTTTCTCTTCGCATTCCAACCTCCTATTAATCAGAAACCAACATTGATTTAAAAAAAAAAAAAAACACTCTGAAAGAACTTGACCTTGTAAAGATATCCTGTAAAAGGAGAAAACAAGAGCTAGCTACCTCTGGAGGAGTGGCTTTTACTTTCTAGAATGAAGCCTAAGCCGTTAGGGGAAAATATATTCCCCAAAATACAGAGTAAATATTCACCTCTTTCCCTGATGTATACTTTCCCCTCCAAAGATAAAACTTCCTACACTGAGAGGAACGGAAGCATTTCACCCAGCAAAAAATCAAGCTGCTCGAAAACTATCATCTATTTCACCCAGTAAAATCAAGCTGCTCAAAAACTATCATCTGAGCTCGCCTCCTGGTTTCTACTTAAGAGAGCAGACCTAGAAGGTGAGGAGAGTTAACTAGGGAAAGACAAGTTCCTGCTGCAGTGTACTCAGCCAGGCACAATACAAAGGTGCAATTGTATTTTAGATGGCTTCTAGAAAATGCAGACAAAAGCCAACCAAGGTGCCTCATCTCTCCGAGGTGAATCTACTTTTTTGTTTTCCCAACTGTAAATCTAACTATCTGCTTTAAAATAACAGCAACAAAGGGCTTTTCTAAATAAAGCTATGAGGAAAAACTCCTGAGCTGGGAAGCCACTAGAAAGCACTGCTGAAGGAGAGGGGGAGGACACACTATCAGCCTCCTTCCCACTTGTTCTCGGAGAGCCTCAGGGAAATGAATCCCCATCTAGGTCCATTTTCAGAGCAGCAATCTCTGGGCAGGAGATTTCAAAACGACGGTTTCAGAAAGCCAGTCATGGCAGCTCTCCTGCCCGCCTGGAACTGTGCAGGTGCATCTCTTCACCAACCTCTGCCCTTCACAAAGCAGCTGAGGCAGCACCCTGGCCCACAGGCCCATGCAGGCCTCTCTACGCAAACAAGCCCTTTCAGGGAAAGTGCTTTCTGCAGGCTGTGTCTGTCAGGGGACCTGTCCCTTTTCTTATACAATAAACACACCCTTGTGAATATCAAAAAAAAAAAAAGAGTTAGTCATCCTCTCCTCCCAGTTCTCTCATGAAATAAAACTCTTTTATTTACATGCAGGGCAACTAAACAGTATCATGTAGGACAATGTCAGATTCTTAGTATCTTATTTCTACCACCACTTCTGGACTCCCAGGCACATTTCCCTTATTAGAAAAGGAACTTTGGACATACTAGGCCCGACACAAAGTCAGAGCTGAACAATTCATTCCATTCTGAGTCCCTCACTTAGCCGCTTTGGCAAGTCTAAATTTGTAATTCTGGAATGTTTGCAGACCTTTCAAGGCAGAATCCCCAGGGGCCTTTTATGTTTAAACCTTAGGGCCCACCCACTAGACCGTCTCAATCAATCTGTGGACCAGATCCTAAGCTATTCCTAGTTTAAAACTGGATTTTACCAACGACTGAAGTTTGAGGTGCATTCAAGTAAACCCACTGAAGTTTGTGCTATGCTGTCCCCAGCAGAAACTTGGGATGTCCATCCTTCCTCCTTCCAACCTAAGCGATTTGCTAGTGAGACTGGACAGTGACACCCGCCAGTTCCCCCACCAAGAGCACTTTAAGAAGACGGTGCACGAACTCAAGTGCTTTAGGGCCTCTAAGCACATCCCACAGAAAATCCTATCAAGAAACCTCAGGACCAGTGCCCCATCCGCTCCCTCCATCTCCATCGTAAGCGATCCCTGGCTCCCACCACAGCAGCTCCTCTGGCGACCCGTAGCCTCGGAAGTGGACACCCCTTCACGGAGTGCCCAAGGTGTCTAAGCATTTCACAGACATCAACCCCACACACTCACACGCATTCCACGACAGCTCCCCGGCCTCCTCAAGCTCCCGGGGCGCCGTGCCCACGGCCGCTCCTGCACCCCTAAAACTAGGGAGAGGATCCCGCAACTGCCCCCACCCTCACCCCGAGCCACTCGCCCCAGTCCTCGGGCCCACCCCGCCCTCTGCAGCCCCGCGCTCCCCACTCCCGCCCTCCAACTCCGGCCCCGGGGCGCCCCTTGCCCCCTCGCTCCCTGCCCCGGGGCGCCCCTCCCCTGCCCCCTCCGCCGGAGATGCGCTCCCACGGCATTCCGGATCCCGCCGGGGCGCCCCCGCCCTGCCGTACTTTCCGCCCTCGCGTGTTCGGCAGCGGCGGGCGCGGTCCGCCCCGGCCCGTTCGCCCGCGCGGCCGCGCTCCTCACCCGCCTCGGCGACGTCGCCGGCAGGGCCCGGCTCGGCCCCGCAGCCGCCCGGGGGGGAGGAGGGGCTGCCGTGGTTGTGGGAGCACTGGATGTCGCGGAAGAACTTCTGGGTTTCGCGCAGGTTCTGTCTCAGCCGGGCCAGGTAGCGGCGGTAGCGCCCGAAGCCCCGGCACAGCTCCCGGATCATTCCGCCGCCTCCCGGGCCGGGCCCCGAGACGGGCTCGCCGGCCCACGGCACCCCCTCGCTCTCCATCTCTTCGGCCTGCTCGGTCTCCTCCGCTCTGCCCCCGACCCACTGGCCAGGCTTCTCCACTCCCCGCCCCCCTGTGCTTGAAGGGAGGAGGAATCCGCCCCCTGACGCCCCCGCCAGCTGTCGCGGGCTTCCAACCTCTCCCAACGCCTATAACCAAGCCGCAGAGCTCCGCGGGCGGAACTTTTATCTCCACTACCCATAAAAGTGAGGGAAGGCTTACTGGAGTGCGCTGTCACTGCGGTGTCTTCTGGGACTTGTAGTGTGCGCTAGGCCTATGCGCCCCAGCCCGAGTTGTGGTTGGGACTGATGTACTTTTGGTAAAAATCACATTCATTACTTCTTGTGTTTAAATGTTCTCCTCATTTTAAAACGTGTTCTTCCTGGTACACTGAAAGGGGAAATAGAAACTGGTGCGGCATCCATGAAAACAGTGTGGAGAGTCTTTAAGTAGTTAAGAATACAAATAACATACGAGGGCCCTCCCTGTTGGCTCAACGGGTCAAAGCTCAGCACTGCAAGCTAGCAGCATCCTCTTCATTGTGAGTTCGATCCCCAGCACTGGAGGTGACCCACATGGCCTGGCAGACCTCTCCTGACCCACCCGCTGCTCCCCTCAGCAGTGTACCTCATCAATCTACCTGTTCTGCTCCCTGCTCTATCTCTGGTGAGTTCTCTCACCATCCCTGCACCTCTAGCTGGTACCCCAGTTCTGTATGCATAAATAAATCTTTTAAAAATAAAAAAATAAAGAAAGAAAGAAATACCATATGAACTGTTTCCAGTTCTGGGTGTTTATCCTAAGAATAAAAAACACAAATTCAAAAAATCATATGCACCTCTAATTCCATTGTAGCATTATTTTCAACAGCCACGATTTGGAAACACCCCAACTGCTTTTCAAATGGATGAATAAATGAATAAAATGCAGTGTATAGAACTGTGAAATACTACTCAGTTATGGGGGGGTAGGGATGAAATCTTGACATTTGGAACAAGATGGTTAGACCTAAAGGGCAGTGTGTTAAACCCCTAAAACTTACAGAATGTTACAGATCAGTGTTATCTCAATAAAAAGTTACATATTTAAATTTAGGGGAAACATTCCCACTCCCTAGGCAAGTGTCCCTGAGAGGAGAAAGGAGCTTCAGAATCTTGATACCAGCAGAAGTGGGGTGGCTTGTAGAAATCTGAGCAAAATATTTTAATAACCAAGAAAAGGAAGGAAACAAGAAGGCCAGTAATATCTCCATGGTTACCCCAAATGGCTCTCACTGTCCGGATACAGTAGATACTGCAGAACCAACCGAAAATACCCTGGAAGAGAGAAACCTCTCATGTTTGTAGTGCATCTTCCTCTTCTGTGAGTGTGTGGTGGGGGGAGGGGAGGAGAAGGAGGGCAAAGGAGTTGTTAAAGAACTTTAAACTGAAGTTCAAGTGGTTTCTTGAAGTAGACAGACTTAGCTGGATATGGGGAAGTTGAGGTTTGCAGTGTTCTGAACTATTTCTGATTATCTTAACTTGGTTTCTGCCAATATAGAAGACTTTTATGACAGGGACTTAAGAGCAGCCATGGGCACAGCCATGGAGGAGGAAGAACTTGATAACCATCTCTTCCTCCTCTTTCTCCTCCCTCCCTTTCCTCTTCTTTTCTTCAGGTGTAGTCTTTCTTGCTTGCTATGGAAAGATCTTATCTTTTATCCAAGCCAGGCCACCTTCACAGGCTGGATGGTTAGTTCCTCAAGTGAAGTTAAGAGGAAACTTGAGTTTGAACTCCCTGATACCTTGCATCGGTACACAGGAATTTCTAACAAAATAGATCCTCGGCGAGAGTACGCAGACTGGGGTTTTCCAGAAAAGGAATCGGGAACTAGTAAGTCTTAAAGAATGAGTAAAATTTGGGTAGGTGGATGTAATTGAGAAGGATTTTTTGTCATAAATGCCATGGAACACATCCTTTTTTAAGTAATTTGTTAAGACTTCATATTTCACATTAAAAAAAAAATAGAAGACTGTAGTATAAATTTCAAATGCTGCAAAGAGTATAGAAGGAAAATGAAGTCTTCTTTCTGCTTTCTGCTCCCTAGTCAGTTATCTAGTTTCCTGGCTACCAAATAGTAATGCTCTAAAGAAGAATTGTATTCAGCAAGAACTCTGGTTAGTCCAAGAGGAAAGATCCAAAGATACTGACATCAGAACAGAGATTTTTGTCTGGCCTATGCGCTGCTTTTATCTCTAGCACCTAGAACAGTTTCTGTCACTCAGTAGGTGTTCATTAGATATTTGTTGAATGAATAGTCACATAGACACTTTTTAACATTCAGGGAATCACAAAGGAACATATAAAAATCATTTTTATTTCTACTATCCAGAAAGAACCAGTAAGCTATATTTGTATCTATTAATATTGAGCACCATTGGAGAAAGGGATATGGGTGAGACATATGCTTGTCTTTACTACAACAATTCCTCATGGTTAGACAATCTAGACAGATTTTTTTTTAATTTTTTTTTAAAGATTTATTTATTTGTGCATACAGAACTGGGGACAGGCCAGAGGCTCAGGGGCGGCGAGAGGCTTCACCACAGACAGAGTGGGGAGCAGAACAGGCAGATCGACGAAGCACACTGCTGAGGGGAGCAGTGGGCGGGTCAGGAGAGGTCTGCCACGCCATGTGGTCACCTCCGGGACAGGCAGGAATCGAACTCATGAGGAAGCAGCTTTAGATTCTCAGTGCTGTGCTTTAACCTGCTGCGCCACCAGGGAGGGCCTGATCTAGATAGATGTTAAAATCTTCATGCTTAGGCAGGTGGAATCACATCCTTTTTGGGCAGCACCAAAAGACACAAGAAAGTTGGGCACACCCTGGTGGCACAGCGGGTTAAAGCGCAGCACTGTGAAGCCCTCTGCACCGCTGAGGCGAGCAGCAGGTGAGAGAGGAGAGGTCTGCTGTGCCAGGTAGGCCAGCTCGCTGACCTGGAATCAAACTCATGCTTCAGAGGCTGGTAATAGCTTGATGACACTGAGACTTTAACTCCTGCACCACCAAAGAGGCCCCTGTTTTTCTTTTCTTTTCTTTTTTACAAAGCAGTATCTAAGATATTTAAGGAGAATATCAATAAAGAAGGACTGGTTTTAAATGACACATTAGATCACGTGGATTTAACAGATAAGCATTCCATTGAAAACCAACAACATACACATTCTTCTCAAGTACACATGAACATTATTAAAAATAAATCATGTTAGACCACAAAATAAGGCTTCATAAATTTAAGTTTGAAATCAGATCAAGTTTCTTTTCTGAACACAATGGGATGAAACTAAAAGAAAACTGGAAAATTTAGGCCCTCCCTGGTGACGCAACAGGTTAAAATGCAGCACTGTGAAACTATCAGCACCTGCTTAGGCACAAGTTTGATTCCCTGCCAGGGAGCTGACCCACATGGTGCAGCAGACCTTTCCTGACCTGCCCACTGCTCCCCTCAGCAGTGTATTTCAGTCCATCTGCCTTTCTGCTCCCCACTCTGTCTCTGGTGACTCCTCTTACTGCCCCTACTCCTCTGGCCTGTACCCCAGTTCTGTATGCATAAATAAATAACTCTTTAAAAAGAAAATTCACAAACATGTGCAAATTAAACACTCAGTGGATTAAAGAAGAAATGAAAACAGAAAATATCTTGAGACAAGTGAAAGTGGAAATGTGATATGCCAAAACGTATAGAATGCAGAAAAAGTAGTAAAGTAGGACTAAGAGAGAGAAGTTCATAGCAAAAAATACCATGCTGAAATAAACAACCTGACTTTATACCTCAAGGAACTCGAAAAAGATAACAATATAAACAGAAATAGCAAATAAAACCAAAAGTTAGTAGAAAGAAAATAACAAAGATCAGAATAGAAATAAATGTAATGGAAACTAAAAAGATGACAGAGAAGATCAATGAAATGAAGGGCTGATTCTTTGAAAAGATAAACAAGATTGACAAACCAACCTTTAACTAGACATATTAAGGAAAATACAGGAGGGCCTCCCTGGTGGCACTAGGGCTAAAGTCTCAGTGCTTTCAAGCTATCACCAGCAACTGAGGCAGGAATTTTGTCTGCCACTCCCCTCAGCAGAGTACTTTGTCCATCTGCCTGTTCTTCTCCCCACTGTGTCTCTGGTGAATCCTCTCACCCCCCTGCACCTCTGGCCTACATCCCAGTTCTTGTATGCATAAATAAATAAAAATAAAACCTTTTAAAAAATTAAAAAGAAAAAGGGAGAGGGGACAGGGGCCAGCAGGGGGAAAAATATAAGAAAACAAAGAGGAATTAATACTAATCCTTCTCAAACTCTTTTTAAAAAATTGAAGAGGGCCCTTCCTGGTGACACAAGGGATTAAAGTTAGCACTATGAGGCTATCCGTAGCCACTGCAGCACAAGTTCGACCCCCAGTCAAGAAGGTGACCCACATGGTGTGGCTGACCTCAACTGTCCTGTCCACTGTTCCCCTCAGCAGTGTATTTCAGTAGATCTGCCTACTCTGCTCCCCACTCTGTCTCTGGTGAATCCTCTCACCCACCATACCTCTGGCCTACGCCTCAGTTCTTGTATGCATAAATAAAATAAGTCTTTAAAAAAAAAAAAAGAAGAGGTGATGAGTTTTTGGATTTGACACCAAACAAAGGCAACAATAGAAAAAAAAAAAACAACTTCACAGGAAAGGAACCACCTACAAAATGAAAAGGCAATTACCTAATTGGAGAAAGTATTGCAAATTATATTATCTGACAACGATTTAGTATCCAAAGTATATAAAGGAGCCTTCCCGGTGGTGCAAGGGATTAAGTATCAGCACCATCAAGTTATTGCCAGCCACTGCAGCATGAGTTCGATCTCCCACCAGGGAGCTGACCCACATGGCGCAGCAGAACTCTCCTGCCTTGCCCGCTGCTCCCCTATGCAATGTACTTCGTCCATCTGCCTGGTCTGCTCCCCACTCTGTCTCTAGTGAATTCTCACACAGCCCCTGCACCTCTGGCCTGTACCCCAGTTCTGTATGCATAAATAAATAAATCTTTAAAAAAAAA